TGGCAACCGAACCTCCACCGGAGATTCTTAGCTTAGCTTTTGATTCTTAATCGAAGATAAATGGTCCACTGCATCTACCATCCATCAGGTGGAGAGACTATATGCTCGTTTGTTACCGTCATTCTATGCAAAAATCACTTCTCTCCTGTTCCTAGATTGAGTAGACTTTACAATGACTGCAGCACATCAGTAGATCTTAATTTTGATCAGGAACTTTATCACAAAAAATATCTTTTGTAATTTGTTAAAAAATTACTTAAAATAGGTTTTTATTATTTTTCTTTTCTTTTACATAATATAGGTAACTTATTATTATTAAGCGCATGATATGTTCCCCTATAAGTAGTTATGCACTTAGCTTAAGACATGTTGGAACTTGTATTTTTTTATTCAAATTTATTGTGTTATAACTATTGGAAAACCTAATAGATAAATAAAAAATGAGGAGTTACCGTTATGAGTTATTGCATCTATAATAGATACAATCGCCCCTCAACTAGCTATTATTTTTAATACTAGTATGGAATCTGATGTATTTCCTGATTTAATGAAATATGTATAGTCGTACTTTTTTAAATATAATAGTACAGTACCCCCCCCCCCCCCAACCCCCTAATTTTAGACAAATTTTGGTACTCCTAACACTTTAAAAAAATTTTGTATTGAATATTATAATATTATTATTTAATTAGATATTTTAGTAATAATATACATCTCCATAAAAATAGATTTGTTTTTACAAGGGGTCGCTCGTCGATGGCGCCAGTTTTAAATTTATGATATATATTTTAATGCCAGGGAAAATTCACAGAATGCTTTGCTTATTTTATGTGCTCCCTGCAAGGTCTTCGACTGTGTTCATCACAAGACATTAATCAAAAACTACAACAATGAGCTGGAAAAAATGTTGCTCATAAAGTTATCACTTCATATTTAAGTAATAAAACTCAAAAAGTGGTTTCCAACAGTAAGAGTTTTTCCAAATTAATAATATCAACGGGTGTTCCTCAGGACTCAATTCTTGACCCATTTCTGTTTTTAATTAATATAAATGACTTACCTTACTTTTAGAGGATAACCACGACATAGAGTATTATTTGCAGGTGTAATTCGCCGATTTTTAAACTAAAACTACATTTAGTAAAATATTACAAAGTGAATAATGCTGTCTAAATTAGTATATTGGCGTAAAAACAAAAGTCCACGACCGAACAAAGGCCTTTCCCAGAGATAATAAGGTTATTTTTGACCAGTGGTAGAGCCACGCGGCAGCTTTTGCTGTCGCACGGATGGGCCGGCTCGAACCGGGGTGGTACCACGACCTCACAGAAAACCAGCGTGAAGTAGAAGTTTACCTCTGCGTTTCGCTTGGTGAGTGCAGGTGGCCGGAGGCCCTTTTTACTGGAAATGAGGCATTCCATCTTAGTCCTCACGGGTGACAACGCATCTGCATTTTGATTCGCAAACGAGGATAGATGTAGATGTCTATGGGCCGCAGCAACCACTTACCATCAGGTGGACTGTGTGCTCGTTTGTCACCCGTATCCTATAAAAAAAAATGGGAAGATTTGGGTTTCTTGATACTACAGTTTCTATTGGAGCCACTCTGGATACCAAGCTACAATAAGGCGTCTATATATAAGCAAGCGCATATTTTTTTCTAAGAATAAAAATAACACTGGGGGAAAATAAAGAAACTTATTTTAGACTTAATCCTATTATTTTATAACTTACAATTTGATTATTTAATAATAATACTAAACAAACGTGACATTCTAACTTTTACTAAAGATATTGTTGCGCGCCACTATTAGTGTCTTGTACATGGCAACACTAGTTACCACTAGCGCCCTCTAGTGTCGAGTAGCAGAATTAGGAGAGTCGAGATCCTTCTAGAAATATCGGGATCGATATGTACTCGAACATTCTAGATGTTTCTATAGTAGAAGGTTCTGGAAACTACCTGTGGCCCTATATAAGGCCGGTATAGACCTCGACCGGGACAGTGTTGAGTCGGCGATACAAACGAATACTTCGAAGCTATACAACTGCGAACTAGTGATCAGTAGTAAAATTGTGTTTTATTATTAGTGTGGTTTAAGTTGTAATTTCATCATCATCATCATTACAGCCCTTCACAAGTCCACTGCTGCACATAGGCCTCCCCCAAAGAATGCCACAAAGCACGGTCCTGAGCCACCTGCATCCATCGACTTCCTGCATATCTTACCAGGTCGTCACTCCATCTAGTGGGGGGACGCCCTACACTTCGCCTGCCGGTACGAGGCTGCCACTCGAAAACCTTTCTTCCCCATCGGTTGTTGGTTCTTCGAGCTATATGGCCGGCCCATTGCCACTTCAGCTTACTAATCCGTTGGGCTATGTCGGTCACTCTAGTTCTACAGCGGATATCCTCATTTCTGAGTTTATCACGCAGAGAAACTCCGAGCATAGCCCTCTCCATAGCTCGCTGAGCGACCTTGAGCTTCCTCATCCGGCCAGTTGTAATTAGTGCTCTGTAATTAAAGTGTCAATTTTTGGTAATTCAATCGGCAGTTTTTAATTGTCTCGAACCCTACAATATCATGATAGTGTGCTGAAGAGATTGCCTTTGTCAATCATTAAAATTTAATAATTAACTCATAAATTGACATTTTACAAAGATGACATGTTGCATGACGAGTAAGAGAAAAACGATCGTTTTAAAGTAATTGTAAAAACTAATATTTATATAGTAGAGTCTGTGTAGCGTAAAAAACTTTGTATTAATCAGGGTTAATAATTTTACGCTCCCCAGTTGCCGCTAGTTGGGAGTGAGCTGAACTTATTTGTTACACAGTATCATTATAATTGAGAAATTGTGTTTTATATAAAAGTTTATCGGTTTCTAGAGTGTGTTTGTTACACAAAACAATGCTTAAAGTTTTTTTTTTACATTTTAACACTTCTTTTATTTTTTCTAATGTTAGGAATATCCGTAGTTTGGTTTATCTGTTTCTAATCGAATTAAAACAACTACGATTTAAAAAAAACATTAACCCTTACACCGAACAAATTAACTTCCTCCGCCGTGGAATCTGTCAAATATTACAAGTGGCCCTTAGCCTAAGTAACCCTTTACTCGCTAGGAACCTATTCCATACCCAATAGTCTTACCAAATAGATTTACAAGTAAGACTACTGATAATTTTCTGACCAAGTAAACCTAACTGCTAAAACATTAGGGGAGAAAATTCTTATGTTAAATTCTCTAAAGTACATGGAATTTATCATCAATTAAGTAGGTATATTTTAGGGAAAGTACTAAGCAAGCATAAACTTGCAAGACGCAGTGTGAGTTTCCCACTAATTTTGTACACTGCTACTACTTGTATTGATTCCTGTTCGTTTGATAATTCTGAGATAAAAATATATAAATAGAGGGAGTTTAAGTGTGTTTGCTCATATAATTGGGCAGAATAATTCTGTCCTGCGTAAATGGCTAGTCTCCGATAATTCTTCCCGCCGAGACTGAAATTCGGTCTGGAGAACTGTCCTACTGCCTCTTTCACGTTTATGCTTGCTATAGTACTAACAAGCATAAACGTGAAAGATCATAAAAATTATTATTATTACTAATCATAAAAAAGCAAACATCAGTCAGTCAAATTAAGCTAAAAAACGTTTATATAAAACGCATAATTTTGACAAAAATAAACTAAAAGTACGAGGGTGACACTGAAACTTTTTAGAACTGGCCACTTATAAACGATATAATAAAAAAATAAGTTAAATTTTGAAAACGGGACTCTGCCAATATTATTGTGTGTGTATTTTATTAATTTGTCATTTATTTACGATTTGGCGGCAAATTGAAAATTCATTTCACGGTGAAGATTAAGAGATGAAGATCAGATTCGGACAAGCTTAGGCATCGGTATAAGTCAAGTGCAGAAAATCCTTCATGAACATTTAGCGGTCTGGAAGCTTTGTGCCCGGTGGATGGACACCTTATAATTTGACAGAGACCCAAAAACTCCGTCGTGTTCATTGGTGTCGTGAAATGGTTCAAAGATTTAACGGAGGTGACTCAAATGCTGTGTTCGACATACTTCGGGTGAAGAAAGCTTGATTTATTGTTATGATCCTGAAACTAAGAAAGAGTCTGCTGTCCGGGTGATTCCTTCCGAGGATTTGCCAACTAAAGTGAAGAGAGGTCGAAGTCGTGGGAAAAAAGATGGTGGTCTCGTTCTTCGGAAGGACAGGTCATTACACAACAATTGTTTTAGATGATTGAAACACAGTTATTGCAGAGTGGTACATTTACAATTGTTTGCCACTTGTCTTCGAAAAAGTCCGGGAGAAACGACCTCGCAGTAGGATCTTCCTTCACCACTACAACGCCTTGTCGCACAAACAAACTATCGACTGCTTGGCGACGTCAGACGTGGAATTACTGGGTCACCCGCCCTATAGTCCCGACCTCATACCTTGCGATTTTTATTTATTCCGAAAATAAAAGTAAAATTTCGAGGAAAACGTTTTATGGACACCGAGGAAGCAGTGGCTGCATTTTAAAATGGCGTCGAAGATACCCCTACGGACGAGTGGGCAAAGTGCTTTTCTCAGTGGTTCCATCGGATTTCAGCGATGTATTTGATCTAAATGGACACTATTTTGAAAATATATAAGAAAACTAATAACTTGCTAGTATGTTCATTTTTTGATTTTCTAGGAACTTTCAATGTCACCCTCGTATTTGTAGCTACCAAAAATTCCATCTATTTTATAGAATAGGATTACTGATAATTTTCTTACCCTGTTGTCTTACCAGTTTGGTTTACTTGATAAAAAATTTGCTGTAGTCAAATAAGTGTGACTACTGGGAAGAAAATTTCTCAGTAGCCTTACCAGTAAGAATACTGGGAAGAAAATTTCCGGTAGGCTTACTAGTAAGATTATTGGGAATACCCCGAATCCACGTATGGCGTGATATGAAAGCAAAATATAATGTATTGCAGTTGCTGGTGGCGTTCCAAAACAAAGTGTCGGACTTCTGCTTCGCGCGCAAGACGGAGAAGGAGGAGCTGCTGAAGGACCTGACGCAGGAGGCGTCGCGCTCCTCGCCGCGGCCCGCGCCGCCGCCGCCGCAGCACCACGCCGCGGCCAACGAGGTACTACGGACCCACAATCCGCTACCAATTAGGAGGACTCTGATCAATAGTTTTCCAAAATGTTTTCCAAAATTTTGCTCGTCTTAAAAAAAAGTCTACGGGCCTCAAAATTTTTTTTTCATTATTTCACTAAAAAGCTTTTTTTAGGAAATTTAATGGTCTTTAAATTGACATAATCAAAAATCCTGTACGATAATTTGCCGCGGAGTAAGCTTACTAGTCCGTTGAGCTATGTTGGTTACTCTGGTTCTACTGCGGATATCCTCCTTTTTAACTCTATCACGCAAAGAAATCCTGAGCATAGCCCTCTCCATAGCTCGCTGAGTGACCTTGAGCGTCCTCATACGGCATGTTATTGGTTATCAAAGTTAAAAACAACTTTTATGGTTTGATTGACAATAACTCCGCGGCATATCATCGTACAGACTTTTTGCAACATTTTTGAAGACGAGCAAATATTTGGAAAATTTCTTTTCGGTAGTTTTCTTAGGATCACTCCAGAACCAAAGATGATAAAAACTTTTCATGGTCAGATCTGAAAACTAGATGCTTGGAGTTACAATTTGCCTTTTTTTTTTACTGTACGATCATTTACCTCAGAGTTATACAGCTTGTTGAAAATCATTTAATCCATAGATTTTTTTATATCCCTTAATTTTCGTGATTAATGTATAAATGACTATTTTATAACTGGTAGAGCCACGCTGCAACTATATTATGGTTGTAGCACTAATGGGTCGGTTCGACTGGGGTTTGGACCACACTTTCACAGAATACCGGCATAATATAGCAGCTTTCATTAGGAAGACTGATCAATAAATGGCGAATGTTCAATAAATACAGAATATTAGAATATGTATCATGAATTATGTTTGTTGTGCGGGCAGCCGGCTGTGGTTAAGAAGGAGGCGCCGCCGCGTCCCCCGCCCCCCACCACCACCCCCGCGGCCCCCGCCGCCCCCACGACTTCGAGCGCACTGCCCTACCCCTCGCAGCCGCAGGGTGAGTTTGTTGCTATTTTTTATTTGCTAACGTAAACTATACAAACAATGAAGGTAATGCTAAACATAATGTTACACGACGAGCGCACCATTTATTTATCAATCTATTACATGCTATAATAGTCCACTGCTGAACATAAGCCTTTGCCATAGATTGCCTCATAAGGGGGATATTTGGCATAGTTGCCACACTTGGCAAGCGGGTTGGCAACCGCAGTTTCATTTTCATCTTTAGTCGTTATTAGGAAGACGCTGCCACCCATCTCCTGATTTGTTTCTCTCTATCGCCTTTTACGACACCCACGGGATGATATGGGGTAGTGGATATTCTTACACCGCCACTACATGATAACTGGCCTTCACAGCGAGCGCATGGCACTACCGAAATGAACGACGCGTGTCAGCTATTTAAGTTAATAGGTTCAATATGAATTAACTGTGAGACACTACGAGTTCCAATCAAGAGAAAATCTGTCAACCTATCTTAACGTAATTTTATAGAACTATTACTATCGGAATTCTCTTTTAAACTTATAAAAAGTTAATATTTTTTCAACTTAACCTCTCTTCAAGGTCACTACTTAACATCGTCAATGGTACCATACAATGCCGTCAACCAAGCGCTCATTCTATATTTTATGGTCCCTCGAGCCGGATTTGAACTAGTTACCAACAGATACTATTCACTATTTTATTTTATTTAAGTTATTAATTACGTGAAATTTTAAAAGTAAACATTTTATTTCTACTTAGCTAAGGTTGCCTGATGGTAAATGAGGCGCTAAGTATATTGTGTGTGTTTAAATGTAAACTATTGTAACTAGTTATAAGTTGATTGCAGAGGTACATGTATTTTCTAGAATTTATTGATAGTGTAATTTTTTAAAGATTTCTCTCAAGTTGGTATATTGGCGAGATTGGTTGGTGCGCACAGGATGTGGAATTTGAGTTTGGGAATCGTTTTCTGTTCTGAATAGTTGCTATAGCTGTATGTAGTGATAAAATGTACATATGTTATATTTTTCTTGTGATTTTAATATATATTCAATTATATATTATATTATAGTTCACATATTTTCCTTTAAGATTGTCTTTCAATAGAGCAAGTAAAACTTATAAGGAGTTACTTTAAGGGTTAAACGATATCACCGGAGACAATGGTTGTGTCGTATGTATAACCACAACTCAACAGTGGTAGAGCCACGCGGCAGTTTTTGCTGTCGCACGGATAGGCCGGCTCGAACCGGGTAGTACACAACCTCACAGACTGCCAGGGTGAAGTAGATATTTCCCTCTGCGTTCCCCCCTCCCCCCACCCCCATCAACATGGTAGGGGAATTGAAGAAAAGACTACCCCAGGAGCAGCACCCCTAGAGAATCCCTCGCTGAGCAGCCACGACCAAACTACTCCACTCCTGAGCGTGGGTACTCAGGCTGCCCCGCGTATTCTGGGGTGGGGGGGCGCAAAATTCCGCTCGCGACTAATACTGCCCAGGGCAAGTGGAGCAATAAAACCTAAGCGACCCCTGTCACGCTATCTCTGAATGTTTGCAACATCAGGGGACTTCATTCCGACCTTAACGCTGTCCATTACCATCTAGAGACGGCGAAGCCTCTTTTTCACCGAGACTTAGGTATCCTCTCCGGCTGATACTTCATATCTTTCCTACGCGCTATCTACATCAGAGAGGACATCTGTTTTCGACGCCTCGGCAGTCTTGAAGGTCCGGACCTGTCCATCCTATGGCTGCGCGTAGACAGCGACGACCATCCCCGCGTCTACGAGTACCTCTATAGGCCCCATAGCGGTAATGCCGACACAGACCGACTCATCGACCACGTCCAAATGGCTGCAGACTCCGTGCTACAACAGGTCCCATCCGCATAGATCGTGATACTCGGTGATTTTAACGCCCACCACGCTGAATGGCTTGGTTCCCGTTTAACCGATCATGCTGGTAGATCTGTCTATGACTTTGCCTTGGCATATGGTCTAACAACTGGTTACTTCGCCTACGCGGATCCCAGATGTGGAGAACCATGTACCTTCCCTGTTGGACCTTCTGCTGACCTCTCATCCGGATGGATATCAAGTCTCCGTTGTTGCCCCTCTGGGCTCTTCGGACCATTGTCTGATCCGGAGTACGGTGCCACTCACGCTCCCATCGCAGTTGCGATCTGCTGCTTGCCACCGTATTTGGCACTATAGGTCGGCCGATTGGGACGGGATGCGGTCTTTTTTTGCATCCTACCCTTGGGGGCGGGTTTGCTTCTCGCCGGAAGATCCCAGCGTTGTTGCCGATTCTGTTGCTGATGTGGTACTCAGGGTATGGAACTTTTTATTCCATCCTCTATGATGCCCATTGGAGGCAGATCCCAGCCATGGTTTGGTCGCTCCTGTAAAATAGCATCACGCTATAAGCAAGAGTGCTACCGGGCCTGGGCTGACGCATCAACATCTCTGGATGTAAACACCGGCGCACTTATAAAGAAGTATAATTCCGCCTCCAGGTCCTTCAAAAGCGTCATTGCCAAGGCAGGGTCTGAGCACATCGGCAGAATTGGCGAGAAGCTAGTCCGCCTTCCTTCTGGAACCCGTGCATTCTGGTCTCTCGCCAAGGCTGTCCAAGGGAACTTCTGTCAGCCATCTCTTCCATCTCTGCACAGAAAGGACAACTCACTGGCCCATGCCGCAAAAGAGAAAGCCGATCTTTTAAACTCTCTCTTTGCGTTGTGAGTTGTGAGTGCTCCATGCGACTTACACAGCGTTCGGTTCGTAAAGCACTCTTCTCCCTAGACGTCAGCAAGTCGAGTGGGCCTTTCTGACGTCCAGGGAGAAGTGGGCGAGTCCCTCCCATTGTACCGCCTGCCATTGCCTGACGGAACCCCCCCCCCCCCCCCCATTGTGCTTCACGTCTTCAACGTGTGACCGGTTTTAACGCGTCTTTTCCGTTACTCCTACTCCCAAGGCCTAATCCCGAATTCATGGAAGATAGCTTTGGTCCACTCGATCCCTAAAAAAGGTGACCGCTCAAACCCGTCCAACTACAGGCCTATGGCCATCACCTCCTTGTTCTCCAAACTAATGGAATCCATTATAAACTGCCAGCTCATGGGGTACCTTGAAAATCACCAGCTGATTAGTGACCGCCAGTACGGTTTTCGTCGGGGTCGATCAGCTGGTGATCTTTTGGTCTACCTGACTCATAGATGGGCGGAGGCAGTAGAGTCCAAGGGGGAGGCATTGGCCGTTAGTTTGGACACAGCGAAGGCCTTCGATCGGGTCTGGCACAAAGCGCTTCTTTCGAAGCTTCCTTCCTATGACCTTCTCGAGAAATTGTGCAAATGGATCACCAGTTTCCTTGCTGATCGGAGCGTCAAGGTCGTAGTAGACGGTGAATGCTCTGATTTCAAGCCTATCAACGCTGGTGTTCCACAAGGCTGCGTGCTATCACCAACGCTGTTTCTCTTGCATATCAATGATATGTTGCAAGCTGGTAACATTTATTGCTATGCAGGCGACAGCACTGGTGATGCCTTATATACCGGCCGTGCCAATATTCCTCGGTAAAACATCACCGAGTACCGGGACAAACTTGTGTCTGAAGTCGAGTCTTTGCTGAACAAAGTCTCGGATTGGGGGCGACTAAATCTAGTCCAGTTCAATCCCCAGAAGGCACAAGTTTGCGCGTTTACCGCTAAAAAGATACCCTATGTCGTATCTCCTCAGTTTCAAGGCACTCCCCTTGTTGTCTCAGCTAGCATCGAAATCCTCGGCGTCGAAATATCGAACAGTGTACAGTTTCGTGGTCACTTGGAAGGGAAGGCCAAATTGGCCTCTAAAAAGCTTGGAGTACTCAGCAGAGCAAGACAGTATTTCGTGCCGGCACATCGCTTGCAACTTTACAAGGCGCAGGTTCGGCCTCACATGGAATACTGTTCTCATCTCTGGGCCGGGGCACCCCAGTGCCAGCTTCTTCCACTTGACCGCATCCAGCGCAGAGCGATTCGAATCGTCAACGACCGAATTCTTTCTGAGCGACTCGATACGCTGGCACTGTGTAGGGATGTTCGATTGAATTTACCACGGGGAGTGCTCTGGGAAATTGTACGGATTAATTCCATCCGCTCAATTTCACGAGCGCACATCGCGTCAAAATTCACGATACCATCCTCACCATCTGGATGCTTGGCGGTCCACGACTGCATTTTACAAGGAGTTTTCTTCTTCGCACAACTTCTCTGTGGAATTGTTGCCAACGGCAATTTTTCCGGACCGATACGACTTAGGACCTTTAAGAAAAGAGCTTACACCTTTCTAAAAGGCCGGCAACGCATCTGCAATTCCCCTGGTGTTGCGGTTGTTCATGGTCGGCGGTAGTCACTTGTGAGCCGCATGCTCGTTTGCCCTTCTATAAAAAAAACACATCTCTGCTCACGAGCATCGTAAAAGTTGACAGAGGAAATGTTTTGCTCTAGGAGATAGTTCAAAATATGTTCAAAGAGCAACATTAGATCTGTAGTTGGCGACTCAATTATCGAGTTTCGAGTTTGTATATTTTATATAGATTAAGAATGACAAACGAGTGATGTAGTCTGCTTGATGGGACGTGGATGATGTGGTCCATAGATATGTACATTTAGATTAAAAAGTGGATACGTTGTCGTCCTTGTGGACTAAGATGGAATGCCTTAGTGAAATTGAAAGATTTGTCACTTTAAAAACAAAATAAATTTTATTTTAGTGAAAACTTAAAGAAGTTTCTAAAGAGAATTGTGATTTGAAACTCAATAAAAAAGTGACGCTAAAAGAGATAGCGAGAGAGTGAGATAGAATACAGTTTACAGTGTTTCCTATGGATGTCATGCACGATCTAGTTTACTGTCAAGTTATCGGCGCGTTTGAAGCGGCGTCTAGTTTGCAGTGCGTCCATATAGACCACTCACGTTCGCCGTTAAGTTTGCATGATGCCGCACCAGTATAAATCATGGCGTCTCTCG